TAACTCTGAACTCATGAGTCTAGGATTTATGTGTCAAGCATTGCAATGGATATTTTGGGGGTGAGGGGTAGGAAAATGAATAAGATGTGGTCTCTGCTCTCAGATTACAGCCCTGCAAAGGAGACAGGACAGTCTAGTTAATTGTGGCATCAGGCAGAATGCAACAAGCACTCTTACATATGTATAAAATGAATTGGTAATACACAGAGAGAGAGGCGAACCAAATTTCAATTAGAGAATGAAATATCATCTGGGAAAGCTTTTCAGCCAGAGAGGACTTTGCATTAGATCTTGCATAAGGACATTTTAAGATGAGGGACTATGTGAGCAAAGGCACTGAGTCCAGAAAGCAAAGAATGAACCTGGAGAATTTGAGTAATTCTGTCAAGGTGGACTCTAGGTAGTTGTGTCTGGAAATGCAGCCTAGGAATCAGGAACAGAAAACTGGGACCCTAAGGATTTGGCATATATTTTGCTGGTAATAAGAAATCACCAAAAGTGAAGAGCAAGGATGGACAAAGTCCCTTCCTCCCTCCCTCCCTCCCTCTGTTCCTTCCTTCCTTCCTTTCTCTTTCTCTCTTCTTATTCTATTTCCTCTCTCCTGTTCCTTTTTTATCTTCACCACTGATGAAAATGTTGCTTTTTATTAAAAGCATTTGATCAACCCTACCTAACCATATCCTTTGCCTTAGCACTAGACTTACAATAATTCTCTCTGGGAAGGGAGTACTGAGCGTTCTCTGTGAAGGTTATTTACTATTCACTGTGATCTTAACTTATATTTACATATCCTAAGTGACAGATGCAAAGAGAACATTCTTTATAATTTGTATTCTAATGGCTTGAGCTTCTTCAGTGGTTTTGAATAAATACCATATAGATTAAGTTTGCTTTGAGTCAAATGTGGATAATATAATCTAATTAGTGGATGTTTTCTTTTTTCTTTTCTTTTCTTTCTTTTTTTTTTTTTTTTTTTTTGAGACAGAGTCTCACTTTGTTGCCCAGGCTACAGTGAGTCAGTCTAGCTCACAGCAACCTCAATCTCCTAGGCTCAAGTGATCCTTCTGCCTCAGCTTCCCAAGTAGCTGGGACTACAGGCATGCACCATCATGCCCGGCTAATGTTTTCTATATATTTTTAGTTGACCAATTAATTTCTTTCTATTTTTAGTAGAGACAGGGTCTCGCTCTTGCTCAGGCTGGTTTCGAACTCCTGACCTTGAGCAATCCGCCCGCCTCGGCCTCCCAGAGTGCTAGGATTATAGGCGTGAGCCACCGCACCTGGCCTGTTTTCTTATATTATCATAAAATAGGCATTCTTTTGAAATACAGCTTCCTTTTCTGAGTACTTGCATTATAAATCTATAATTAGCACAACTTTAAGAATATATATGGAAAAACTTGCATTCTGAATCTATGAAAAATGGTGTGATTTTGTGGAGACTATAACATTTCAAGGTTCTTATTATGCATAGGACTCTATGTAGTGCCCCCAAATTCAGCTGCATTCTTAAGCTGAAAAAGTTAATTTTCTAGGGAGAGTTCTGTCTTGTTTTCCCAGAAAGCAAGAACCGCCTTTCCCCATGTGCTTCTTCCTTCTCAGCAAGTTACTTCACCTCCCGGAGTCTGTTTTCTCAACTGTAAAGCAGCAATTATAAAAGTTAGCTACCCCATGGAAATGTTGTAATCGTTAAGTGTAATTATGTATACAAAGCTTTGGACTATGTCTGACACATAGCAAACTTTGTGTCCCAGTAAATGTGCTTTTCAGAAAGGATCAAGCTATATTCTTCTCTCTTAAATTTTCTTCACTCATTACCCCAGGTCAATCTTTTTTTTTTTTTAATGTATATACTTTACTTTTATAGAGGAGTTTTAGGTTGACAGCAAATTTAAGCAGAAAGTGTAGAGTCTTCCCTAAAATCTCCACTCCAGCATATGCACAGCTTTCCTCATCATCACACCCCTCATCAGTGTGGTTACATTTCTTAAAATGGATGAATTTACACTGACACATCATTATCACCCAAGTCCATGGTATATATAGGGTTCACTCTTGGTGCCGTACATTCTGAGTTTTGACAAATGTATCATGACATGTACACACCATGATAGTATTACACAGAATAGTTTCACTGCCCTAAAAATCCTCTATGCTCCACCTAATCCTCCTTCCCTCCCCTTAATCCCTGGCAACCATCAACCCCTTTATTGTCCCCATTGTTTTGTGTTTTTGAGAATACCATATGGTTGGAATCATACACTATGTAGCCTTTTCAGATTGGCTTTTTATACTTAGTAATATGCATTTAAAGTTCCTTCTATCTTTTCATGGCTTGATACATCATTTCTTTTTAGCACTGAATAATATATTTCACTGTATGAATATACCAGTTTATCTGTCCATTTATTTACTGAAGGACATCTTGGTTGCTTCCAAGTTTTGGTAATTATGCATAACGCTGCTATAAACATCCCGATGTGTGGATATAAATTTTCAACTCATTAGGGTAACTACCAAGGAACTCAATTGCTGGATCCTATGGTAAAGGTGTGTTTAGTTTTATAAGAAACTGTCAAATTGTCTTGCAAAGTGGATGTACCATTTTGCATTTCGACCAGCAATGAATGAAAATTCCTGTTGCTCCACATTCCTCTCAGTATTTGGTGTTGTCAGTGTTCTGGATTTTGGCCATTCTCATAGGTATCTCATTGTTGTTTTAATTTGCATTTCCCTGATGACATATGACATGGGGCATTTTTTTATATGCTTATTTGCCACATGTATATCTTCCTTGGTGAGGTGTCTGTTTAGGTGTTTTGCTCATTTTTAAATTGGGTTGTTCGTTTCTTATTGAATTTTAAGAGTTCTTTGTATATTTTGGATACCATTCCTTTACAGATATGTCTTTTGCAAATATTTTCTCTCAGTCTGTGACTTGCTTCTCATTCTTTTGACAGAGGCCAATCTTTTAAACTAAAAAAAAATTAAATTAGAAAATTCCACAGAGTGACAAGAAATAGCATTTGAACAGCCAAAAAAAAAATGTGTGTGTGTTTACTATAAAATAGTGAGATAGTGGTGCGATTGTTTTTCTAGTCATTTAAAACGTTTTTTATTTCAAAATAATTTTAAATATACAGAAGAATTGCAGAGTTTCCATTTATCCTTCACTCAGTTTCCCTTAATGTTAACATCTGATATAACATGGTACAATGATCAAAACTAAGACATTAACATTGGGACAACACTATTAAATATACTACAGACTTTATTAGGATTTGGCCAGCTTTTCCACAGTTGTCCTTCTTCTGTTCTAGGATTGAATCCAATATACCATGTTGCATTTAGTTGTCATGTCTCTTCAACCTTTTTAAATTTATTTTTTAAATTTTATTTATTTATTTATTTTGAGACAGAGCTTTGCTCTGTTGCCCAGGCTAGAGTGCAGTGGTGTCATGATAACTCACTGCAGCCTCAAACTCCTGAGCTCAAGCAATCCTCCTGCTTTGGCCTACCAAGTAGTTGGGACCATAGGGTGAGCCACCACACCTGGATAATTTTTTTCTATTTTTTGTAGAGATGGGGTTTTGCTCTTGCTCAGGCTGGTCTCGAACTCCTGATCTCAAGCAATCCTCCCGCCTCAGCTTCCCAGAATGTTAGGATTACAGATGTGAGGCACCATGTGCCTCAACCTTCTTCAACTTTTTATGGTTTGTCTATCTTTGTTTTCCATGAATTTGAAACATTTACAGAGTACCAGTCAGGAGGTATTTTGTAGACAATCTCCCAGTTTGTGTTTGTCTGGTGATATTTCACAATGTGGACTTTGGGAAGACTATCAGAGAGGTAATGTACACTTCTCCTCTTGACATATTAGTGGGTACTTGATGTCAACATGACTCATACTGGTAATGTTAACTTTGATTATTTGGTTAAGGTGGTATTTACCACATTTCTCTTCTGTAGAGTTATTATTTTCCCCATTCCATGTTATATGCATTAGAAGCTAGTCACTAAATTCATATCACATTCAAAGAGGGATAATTAAGCTCCACCTCCTGGAACCACAACAATTAACAGGCACCACAGAAATTAATAAATATTATGGGGCCAATTATCTGAGGCTACACAAATATCCTGCTTCTCCTTAAAGTTTTGCCTGCTAATTTTAGCATTCATCAATGGAATTTGCCTGTAGCAATAATTACTGTGGAATTCTAATGATGGTTTTCTATTTCTTTCATTCCTTGCACATTTATTATTTAGAATTCTGTAAAAAAGATTTGCTGCTTCTCTCCCATTTGTTTATGCATTGAATCATTTACTGACATATTTATTTTATTCTCTGGATTATAATCCACTCCTGTGGATTGGTTCTACCTTTGGGCATGTGAGGTCTTTTAGGTTGTCTTCCCAATCCCTTTCACATGTTCCCATTTTTTCTTTTTTCTTTTTTTTTAACTTGAGCACTTCCTTACTTTCTGGCACCAAAAGATGACCATCTTGTATTTTTCCTGCCTCATAATTTGAGTCAGCTAAGAAAAAAAATCCATATGTATGTGTATATGTGTGTATACATACATATGCACACACATGCATATATAGCAGTGTTTATATTTATTATATATTGATCTTTCAACAGGAGTCCCCCCTTACCTACAGGCCATATGTTTCAAGACCCCCCACCTCATGTGGATGCCTGAAACCACGGATAGTTCTGGATTCTATATAAATACAGTACTATGTTTTTTTTTTTCTTTCTGTACATACATACCTGTGAGAAAATTTAATTTATAACTTAAGCACAGTAAGAGATGAACGACCATAACAAAAATAGAGCAATTCTAAGAACAGGCTGACAAAACATGAACGCGGGCCTCGTGCTCTGGGCGGGAAAGGGGCTGCGGCCTCTGCGGCTGCGCGGGACCCCCCCTCCCCCCTTAATCTCTTCCTTCCCGGTTCCCGCCACTTCTCACCTTCCTCAGGCCACCGCTTACCTGGGGTCTCTGCACGTGATGGAAAGCCCCTCAGCCTGGTGAGTGGTTCGCTTCCGGTGCCTTTGCCCCAGAGTGCGGCGTGTCCCCGTCCCCAGCGCGTAGGCTGACCCGCTGACCCGACCCTTGGGGCCTGAGGCGGGTGTGGCGGGGTCGCAAGGGTCAGGGGCGCGGGCAGGCCCTGGCCTCAGACGTTGCCCTCCTCGAGGGTCCGCGGGAAGCTCCTGCCACAGGGCCCTGGGCACCACCAGGGGACGCCACCAGCGGCGATGTCACCTCCTCTCCTAGCACCACGAAGTCCCTTCCCTGCAGCCTGGAGGGGCCAAGGCGGGCTGGGGCAGTGGCGCAGCCTCGGAGTTCAGCGTCCCTCACAGGGGGCCCAGGGCGACGCCGCAGCGCCGGAGAGGCGGAGCGATGCGCCCCGTTCCCGCTCTTTTTCTCCTCAGCCGCGTGTCTTCGCACGTGCAGGCGCGGGAACGAGTCTCGCTTCTCCCCATAGATTAGACACGGCTGGAAAAAAGGCCGAGCCGTGCAGGTTTTCAGCTCAGTTTCCTCACTCCGGGCATCCTAAAAGTACAATAGATGTTTGTGAGTAGCCCATTTCCTTCTTCTGTCTCTAGGCATTTCGGGTGTTGAGATTTAAAAAAAAACAACTTTCCCTCTCAAAAATTACGTGAATATGGGATCACTCTCTTTCACTCTTTCTCTCCAAATATCTTGGACCGTGCTCACCTGTCTTCTCATTTCTGACCGTGGTTGACCGAGGGTAACTGAAACTTCCACAGCAAAGCCGCAGAGAAGGGGCGGCTACTGTGCATCTCTATATATTGGAAGTCGCCAGTTTACGCTGGTAACCCCTTTTCCGGTTCAACACCCGAGTTCTCTGTGGCTTTCCAACTTTTCTACTTTTGTAAAAAGCCCTTGCCCGACAGTGGCCGTTAACCCCGATATATCAGTTTGTGTACTCAATCTCCAGCGTCGCAGTCCCCTGAGCACCTGCTGTCACCAGCGCGCGCCACCTCTGCGCCCCTCCCCCGCCCTCCAGTGGCCTCGGCGCTGCTGCCCCTCAGGAAAGGGAAAGGCGGAGAGGCGCGACTTGTTATTTATTTATTATTTATTATGTTATTTTATTTATTTATTATTATTGATTATGCTATTTTATTTATTTATTATTACTTATTATGTTATTTTATTTATTTATTTTTTCAATATGATGAAATCTAGTTTTTTTTTTTTTTTTAAATTTCCAAACATTTAGGGGGTTACAAGTGCTATTTGGTTTTTTGTATTTTCATTTTTTTTTTTTTTTTTTTTGAGACAGAGTCTCACTTTGTTGCCCAGGCTAGAGTGAGTGCTGTGGCGTCAGCCTGGCTCACAGCAACCTCAATCTCCGGGGCTCAGCGATCCTCCTGCCTCAGCCTCCCGAGTAGCTGGGACTACAGGCATGCACCACCATGCCTGGCTAATTTTTTGTATATATATTTTTAGTTGGTCAATTAATTTATTTCTATTTTTGGTAGAGACGGGGTCTCGCTCAGGCTGGGTTCGAACTCCTGACCTTGAGCAATCCGCCCGCCTCGGCCTCCCAAAGTGCTACGATTACAGGCTTGAGCCACCACGCCCGGCCTATTATTTGGTTTTTTGTTTGTTTGTTTTTACTTTCTTTCTTTTAAAGAGGTTCACTAGATACAAGTGCTATTTGCTATGTGGATAAATTCAATTTATCTATTTAAAAAAATTTTTTTTCTTTATCCTGTCCCCCCAAATCAACTGGTGGCCCTGCGAGGTGGCTCACGCCTGTAATCCTAGCACTCTGGGAGGCTGAGGAGGGCGGATCGTTTGAGCTCAGAAGTTGGAGACCAGCCTGAGCAAGAGCGAGACCCCGTTTCTGCTGAAAGAAAGAAATCAGCCGGATAACTAAAAATATATAGGAAAAAATTAGCCGGGCGTGGTGGCTTGTGCCTGTAGTCCCAGCTATTTGGGAGGCTGAGGCAGCAGGATCGCTTGAGCCCAGGAGTTTGAGGTTGCTGTGAGCTAGGCTGACGCGTTGGCACTCTAGCTGGGGTAACAGAGTGAGACTCTGTCTCAAAAAAAAAAAATCAACTTGTTAATTTTAAGAGGTATGTTTTGACAGATGGAAATCAAGACAGGGCCACACAACCATCTTGGGATTTTTGTCTTGGGAGCTTAAAATCACCCACTGAATGTGTCTCTCCCATGAAGGCTTCTGAGGCAAATATGTTTGTTGTATTTTAAGTCTGGAGTGTCAGATTTTCTCCTGTTAGCCTGCCCCTAAGGCATGTTTACCATTCATATATCAAGGCAGGTGCTGCTTCAGATGTCCTAGAAAGGATTTACTTTAGACTAAAATATAATTCCTACTTATGCAGCGGTTCCTGAGATCACTTCAATGTGGGCAGAAGAAAGCCCTTCATCTCAGGCAGATCCCATGTTGACCCCTTTTGGTCTCAACAACTAGCCCAGACTTGTACTTGGACGTCTGATTAGGACCAACTCTGCGGTCTTCCTATTCTGTCCTCTCAGCTGCTCTAGGGTAGAAGATCTCCAAGCAGAAGATCTGTTTGGCTTGACATGACAACAGCCCCCGCAGAGCTATCCTGTCTGGATGCTCCTTCCTGCTGTCAATCCCACCTCAACACCTGTTCCAAAGGCCCCGTGACGGTCTACAGTCACAGATGTGGCTTAAAAGTCAAAAGTGAGTACAGATGACACAGCCGCTGAAGCCTGTTCTCAAAACCAGATCCTGGTGGCGTCGGCAAATTAGCAGGTTTGTCTGAGTCACTTGAACTAATTAAGTTTTCCTTTGTTCACCACCCTTTGCTGGGCTTTCTCAAGATTTTTATGACTAATTGAAATACAAGCTTGTGGTTCTTTTCATACATTACTTAATAGTATGTCAGCATGTCAGCAAATAACTTGTTCGTGGGGAGCTGGTGAAATGCAGGGGTGACTGACAATTACTCAAAGTCTGCAAGAAACATCACCACATACAGCAGGTTGGGAAATGAGTGTGGATATTTGAAAGCTTTAATCTGCAATTCTAGGTTTTACTGCACAGTGAATTGATTACTGGAAAAAAAAATAAATCAGGGTATTCCTTTTGTGTGGTATTCATTAAACATTGACAAAGCCAACATTTACCATATTTGGTGTTTTTCATATATCATCAGAGACAGTAATTGAATTTTTTTTAAAATTGGGCCTGTCAAATATGAATGCTGAAAGTAGCTAGTAAATTAGTTAAAAAATTTACATTGCTGGATTTATACCTTTTGATGTTTGGGCATAGTAAGAATTGAGATTTTAGAAAGAGGATTTGTAGAAAAGCAGTAGGTGAGAGGAAGGAGTCATTAATAATGTTACAAAGATAACACCTTTTAAACTTACAAGGAAGAAAAACCTGGTGATATGTGTTACATGGTTGATTCTCCTCCAGGAATCACTTCAGAAATATTGAGCATCTTTCATATACAGGTAGAATAGTGATGGGGGATGGTGATTGGTAGAGGTGACTTTCCACATGGGAGATGAGTGTGACTTCCATGGTAGGATCTCTGCAGTGCATGGGGGCTACCTGCATCATTTATAACTTTGCATCATAATTTGGGTTTCCAAATGCCCCAGTTATCAGGACAAAGAAGTATCTCGAACATTAAAAACCACCAAAATTCTAGATCAACAGGTTCCCTGCCAGCAGTGAGAAAAACCGGCTAAAATAAGATGGGGTGCTCTAAACAGTCAATGATTACAAAGGTGGGCAAGGTTCTGCTGAAAATGGAAGGAGGGGCAAAAAAATATGTACAGAACATTCTAGAGCAAGAGCTCAGGTTGTGGATCTTGAAGATTCAGATATTTAGGTGCACTGAATGAAAAATAGGTCTTGGTATAATATCAACATATTCTTGTGTTTTTTTTTTCTTTTTCCTTTTACTTACTGTTTTTTTTTAATTGTTAGCCATACCTACTGTTTCTTTTATTTAAAGTGCAGTTAATATGACTGAGACATAATAGTACCAGTGGAAACTACCCTACCCAGACACTGATCTCCATTCTGCATAAATACCAGTGACTCCTAAAAAATTTCTCTCTCATTATATAATATTATAAGCAATCCACTGTTATTTAAAGCTTCCATGCTGTAGGCAAAACACAACTAAAATATTACATTATGTATATTTTATTTCCAGTGAATCAAACAATAAAACCTTAGAAGCAGCCATTAGCTTTAGGTAATTGCATCAGAAAGTTAAATGCTCCATAAGAACTACAAAGAACACTTAGTTGGCAAGGTCATACAGAAAAATGAGAGGGGCAGGGAATTTAGCTAGGCTTGTTTATTCAGATGTTCCTCTGTCCCTTCATCTTTATTAAGGCAAGGTCATGCACCGCTTTGCTTTCATTAGACAGTGCTACCAACTTGAGTTTTCAAGTTTATAATACTATGACTTGTTTGTGCTTTTTTGTTTTTAGGATTTGTATTGTAGACGCCAACAAAAATCACTTTTCAAAAGTTGGGTGAGGAATAGCAGTCTTTGCCTCAGATAGAGTACTGTACTTAAATTTAGTTTTCTCTCATTTTTTTGTTTCTTCTCTTACCTCATTACAATCTATTTGCATATGATAACTATGTAGGTAAATTTTTCATCATGTAAATAGGATGCGACTCTGCTTCAAAATCTCCATTAGTTTTTTCCTTGAGTTTAAAATCCGAACTCCCTTACTCTTGCTATGAATTTGAAAAGAATGAACCCTTTCTCTGCAATTTCATCTCAGCACACTTTCCCATTGCTCAGCCTGTTCTAATCACACAGACCATCTTTTCGCTCCTGATAAATTGCCTGCCTCATCCCTACACCACGACTCGGCCTTTGCTCTTCATTCTGCTTCCTGATTTTGGCTCTGCACTGTCAATCAGGTCCTGCTCAGGTCACCTCTCCTAATAAGATCTTCTTGCTCTCCAAACCTGATGTTACCTTGCTCCCAGTCAATATCACATCATTTGGCTTTTTGTTTTGTTTTTTAATATCATTTTTCATTATCTGAAATTACCTTGCTCAATCCTCAATCCTCTGTTTATTTCTTGTCATTCTTCACAAGAATGTAATCTCCATGGAGGAGGAGGAGGAGCATTATCTGTCTCCTATGCCTCATTCCTGTGCTTCCAGACTGATAGGAGTGTGGCATAAAATAGGAGCTACATAAGTATTTCTTAAACAAGTAGATGAATAAAGTATTCCTTCTTGATTGGTTGATTGACAACCCACGAATACTGTATAGTAGTAAACTGGATGTGTTTCAACTACTTCATATACCAGTTTGGCAAATTATTGTTGTGTCAATTGAAGAATGATGAGTTTTATTGATTCAGAAAGGAGAGCTTTATTTCTCATAAAGGGTTGCAGTCCGTATGCTGGCCATCTTGCAGGATGGCAACATAGCCTTAGGCAGAAACTGAGAACAAACACTGGGAAGGAGGGGCAAAGACAACAGGAATTTATGCGGAGAGACTTGGAAAATATATATATTTAATAAGCCATGGGAGGAGTCATGGGTATTTATGAAAAGAGGAAACATGTGCATACACAATTGAGCTTCATGCCCCCTCTTGGGTCACATGTACAAAAAATGGCAACATTAGAATAATCTGTGGGTGGCATTTTCAACCCTCTGATATCAAAAGGTGAAGCTGAGGACGTGAAAACTGTCAATGTCCATCCTCCAAGACTGGCCAGAACCACTCCAAGATAGGTAGTCTCTTATCCGGAAGGAATGCTGGTCAGTTGTTGTGTCAAAACCACAAAAGGGAGGAGGAGCATTAGGAGGTTGATTGAAACTGATGAGTGGTGGAGCAAGTCTTTCCAAAGGGCTGGTCTGTTTCACTCCTAGGGAAGCAAGCCCTAGGCAGTTAGCCAGGGAGGAGGTATGATGAGGTTTGTCTGACCTGCCATC